TTAATATTATAAAAGATGATTAAATAGAATAAGTAATAGAAATATAATCATTTAAAACAAGAACACAGCTTTTATTAAAGAAAATAAATCTGCAGTAAAACAAGCATTTTTCCGAAATATGTCGCCATCTAGTGGTCTGACTCGGTTATTCCCAGCGCCTCGCTCCCGTGATGCTCTGCGCGGACCGGATCACGTGCTCATTCTGGCCAATCGCGCGGTTTGTTTGTCAGTTGCGTTCAGTTTATTGGTCGGGTGAAATTTAAAAGTACGGTTTGAATCGCGTCCCGTTGGAAGCGTAAGAGCGCCAGAGAAACTCTGTGCGGGAAATCACTGTCTCATTGGAGGAACGATTACCGGGCGGAATCCCAACGGTTGACCCTTCCGTTAAACGTTGGATTTACCTACGTAAAACCCGAAAACAGAGAGCCGACGGTTGAACTCATTTTACGGTAAGTTAGCTTGAATTAACGTCAGTTACCCGGCGTTAGCTAGCTTAAAAATAACGGGACCCGTCCCTCCGTGTCGGTGTTTATCCGTGAATAGGTGAACCGTACCCGGGGGGGAGGTTGTGTGGAGGTCCGTTAACTTTGCGTGTGTCCGTGTTTGTGTTGTGTTTTGTGTGTTTCGCGGCGTTTGTTTCCAGGCTCATTTCGCAGAGGAGCGAATCTCCGCCGTCATGTCTTCCAGCACTGCGGGCGGAGCGAAGCGGGAGGAGAAGGGCCGGAACATCCAGGTGGTGGTCCGGTGCAGGTGAGCAGTCCCCGGCTATAGCATCACAAATCCCGGGCTTTAGCATCACAACACCCCGGCTATAGCATCACAAATCCCGGGCTTTAGCATCACAAATCCCGGGCTTTAGCATGACAGCATCTCCTATCCTAACCCTAACCCGTACCTCTACCCCCCACAGCTCCTATCCTAACCCTAACCCGTACCTCTACCCCCCACAGCTCCTTCTGTAGTCCCTCTACCTCTATCTCTATCTCACCACTGACTCTGATCAGGGTTTCTCCTCTGGATAGCTTATTGTCATAGTGATGAGAAATGGAATATTGTCTCTACTCTGTAAGTCGCTTTGGAGAAAAGCGTCTGCCAAATGCAGAAACATAAACATAAACAACACCCGGGGGTTTCTGAGGGTCCGGCTACCTGCTGCCAAAAGCTGGTAGAGACACCCCAAACTCACCTTAAAGGACACTTATTCCTTCATTTTAGTGACAGATATGATCTAAAGCTGGTTAAATCAGAATAAGGTTTATTGCCAAGTAGGTTTTTCACTTGGCAATAAACCTTATTCTGATTCTGATTAAGGTGAGTTCACTTACAAAGAATTTGCTTTGGTGTTTGGTGCACAACACTTCTATGAGAAGCAAGAAATAAAATGTAGAAATAAAAATATAGAACAGAAATTATAAACTATAAACTAAAAAGTACAATCTTTAAAAATATAGATCTGAACGTACAAATGAAGAATTGAAATGTGCAATGTTGATGTGCAACGACAGACCAGAAAATGCTGAATAGAAGAATAGGTGGGGGTCACTGGAGACCCTAGACCTTTAAACGAACTTCTAAGACTAAGATAGTTTTTAAAAAACCTTAAAATCCAAAAGACTGTTATTTATTTTTTTAACTTTCTGATAACAGAGTTTGGGAAGTCTTCAGTTTGACTTGTTACACTCATTTCTGTTCATTAATAACCACACAAAAAAAGAGTAACTAATCAGGACCTAAATGTGACTGTTGGGACTAAATGTCAGCATTTGCTGGTGTGATGGGGTTTTTTCTGGGGGTAAAGTCTGTGTCTTTATAAATGTGCTTCAGTGAGTTTAGGAGCAAAAATCTGCTCATATCTGGACAGAATTATTCTAAAGGGGCTGTAGATTAATCCAAGCTTCCTTTGGGATTTGTAAAAGCTTTTTCTGGTGTCTGAGGCTGCAGAAAAGAATCGGTTTGCTGTTGTGTTTGCATGTGGATCGCCATCACATGGATGAGCCAAATCCTATTAAGAATATAAAAAATGGTGGTTTTTCTGCATTTTCACTGACCAAACGATGTTTTCCCAAATCCAAATTCAGTTATTAAAGATATTAAAGTTATTAAATATGTCTTTATTTATTTTATTATAAAGGACATAGTTTAATGTGACCAGAATGCAGGAAAAAAAGCAGCAAAATGTCCACATTTTCTCATCTTTTCATACAGTTTAAAGGTGAGAATGAGTCTACTAAATTTTGATTTATAATTATAAAGATATAATGCTCAAATTATAAAATTACATAAACTACTGATTATTTAAAAAAAAAAGTTTTTGAGTTCTACTTAAACATGATTTACAATTACAAAAGTACAAGATGCACATTAGAATAAATAAATAAGCTCTGTATTTTAAAAAACTAACACAAATAATGAGAGTTTGGGGATTTCTACTAAAACTTTTTTATAATTATAAAGGTACAAGATGTACATTAAAATATATAAATAAGCTGTATATAAAAAAAAAAACAACACAAAAAACAACACAAATATTGAGAGTTTTGGGGTTTCACTAAAACTTTATTTACAATTATAAAGGCAGAAGATGCACATTAAAATTATTTAAATAAGATGTATATTTAAAAAAAAGCTAACACAAATAATGAGAGTTTTGGGGTTATACTTAAACTTTATTTACAATTATAAAGCTACAAGATGCACATTAAAATAAATAAGTTGTATATTAAAATGAGAGTTTTGTGGTTTTACTGAAACTTTATTTACAATTACAAAGGTACAAGATGCACATTAAAATAGATAAATAAGTTGTATATTAAAATGAGAGTTTTGGGGTTATACTTGAACTTTATTTACAATTATAAAGCTACAAGATGCACATTAAAATAAATAAGTTGTATATTAAAATGAGAGTTTTGGGGTTTTACTAAAACTTTATTTACAATTACAAAAGTACAAGATGCACATAAAAATAGATAAATAAGTTGTATATTAAAATGAGAGTTTTCTGGTTTTACTGAAACTTTATTTACAATTACAAAGGTACAAGATGCACATTAAAATAAAAACTAACACAAATAATGTTTTTTTTTCTGGTTTTACTGAAACTTTATTTACAATTATAAAGCTACAA